GGAAGAATGAACAAACTCAGTGAGAAAATAAACAAAGACATGGTAAGCATTAAAAAAAAACAACACATAGAAACCATAAAAAAGAAGCAGCCAGAAATGAAGTATACATACCTGAAATGAAGGATACACTAGAAGAAATCAGGAGCAGGTTAGATGAAGCAGAAGATTAAATCAGCAATTTGGAAGACAAGGTAGCAGAAAACATCTAATCACAGCAGCAAAAAGAAAAAAGAATTTTAAAAAATAATTTAAGGGACCTCTGAGACAACATGAAATGTAACAACATCAGTATCACAGGTGTACAAGAAATGTAGAGAGCAATGGAATAAGAATCTATTTGAAGCAATAATGCGTGAAAACTTCCCTAACAAAGTGAATGAAAAAGACAATTAAGTTTAGGAAGCACAGAGTTCCAAACTAGGTGAACCCAAAAGAGGTCCACACTAAGACACATAATTAAAATGGAAAGGTTAAAGATAATCTTACAAGTAGAAAGAGAAAGACAGTTAATTAACTACAAGGGAGCTCCCATAAAACTGTCAGCTGATTCGTCAACAGAAACAATTCAGGCCAGAAGGGAATGGTATGAAATATTCAAAGTGATGAAAAGCAAGGACCTACAAGTAAGACTACTCTACCCAGTAAGGCTATCATTTGAAAATTGAATGAGGAATAAAAAGCTTCCCAGAAAAAAAAAAGCTAAAGAAATTCATTACCACTGAACCAATATTACAAGAAGTGCTAAAGGGACTTCTTTAAGGAAAACAAAAGAGAAACAAAATTATAGAGAATAAAATGGCAATAAATATGTATTTATCAATAATCACTTTAAATGTAAAAGAATTAAATGTTCCAATTAAAAGATATAAGGTAACAGAATGAGTAACAAAAGAAGAGCCACATATATGTTATTTATAAGAGATCCATCTATAAGAGATCCATCTCAGAATGAAATACATACACAAAGTGAAAGTAAAGGGATGGCAAAAGATATTTCATTGAAATGGAAAGTTAAAAAACCTGGGGTAGCAATACTTATATCAGACAAAACAGACTTTAAAACAAAGGCTATAATAGGAGACAAAGGACATTACATAATAATAAAGGGATCAATCCAACAAGAGGCTATGACCCTTAGAAACATTTATGTTCCCAACATAGGAGCACTTGTAGGTATAAAGTAACTGTTGATGGATGTAAAGAGATAGGCTGACAGTAATACAGTCACAGTAGGAGGTTTTGACACCCCATTGATTTCAATGGATAGATCTTCCAGACAGAAAATCAACAAGAAAATAACAGCCTTAAATGACACACTAGACCAGATGCATGCAATTTTCAGAGCATTTCAACCCAAACCAGCAGAATATATTCTTTTCAATTGCATGTGGAACATTTTCTAGAATAGACCACATGTTAGAACACAAATTAAGTCTCAATAAATTTAAGATTGAAATGGTATCAAGCATCTTTGTCAATCACAATGAAATGAAACTAGAATCCCAGGGAAAAACTGAAATACAAAAACACACGGAGGCTAAATAATATGCTAGTAAACAATGAATGAGTCAACCATGAGATCAACACATAAATCAAAAGATACCTTGAGACAAATTAAAATGAAAACACAACAAACCAAAATCTATGAGACACAGTGAAAGCAGTCCTAAGAGGGAAATTCATAGTATTACAGGCCTGCCTCAAGACACAAGAAAAATCTCAGATAAACTATATAACCTTACACTTAAAGAAACCAGAAATTTGAACAACATGGCCTTAAGTGAGTAAAAGAAAGGAAATAATAAATATCAGAGCAGAAATAAATGAAATAAAGTCTAAAAAAAGTACAAAAGACCAATGAAAGCAAGGACTGGTTCTTTGAAAAGATAAACAAGATTGATAAACCTTTAACCAAACTCATCAAAAAAAGAAAAAAAAAAGTGAGAGAGAAAAAGGACCCAAATATAAAATTGGATTAAAAAAAAAAAAGAAGAGAAGTAACAACTGACACCATGGAAAAAACAATGAATTATAATGAACACCTATGTCAACAAATTGGACAATCTGAAGAAATGGATAAATTCCCAGAAAGATACAATCTTCCAAAATTAAATCAAGAAGAAACAGAAAACCTAAATAGACCAATTACAACTAAGGAAAGTGAAACCATAATCAAAAAAACGACCAGCAAAAAATAGTCCTGAACCAGAGGGTTTCACAGGTAAATTTTACCAAACAAAGGAGAACTAACACCAATCCTTCTCAAGCTATTCCAAAAAATTCAAGAGGAGGGAAGACTCCCAAGATCATTTTACAAGGCTAGTATTGTACAAATTCCAAAACCATATAGAGGGTAATATGCTAAGTGAAATAAGTCAGTCAGACAAAGACAAATACCTATGATTTCACTAATCAGAATTTTAAAAACAATGTAAATGAACAAGCCAAACAGAAACAGACTCATAGATAGAACAGCCTGATGGTTGCCAGAAGGGAAGGGAGACTGGGAACTGGATGAAAAAGGTTAAGGGATTAATAAGTACTAATTAGTCAGTACCAATAGTCATGGGGCTATAAAGTACAGCATAGGGAATATAGTCAATAATATAATAACTGTTCAGTGCCAAGTGGGTACTGGAAATTTGGGGGAAAATAATTTGTACAGTATAGGATTATCTAACCACTATTCTGTACACCTGAAACTAATACAAAATAATGGCAAATGTAAATTGTAACTGAAAAATAAAATTAAAAAAAAAAAAAAAGACAGAACCAAAAAACAAAAGAGGAGGTAGAAAGTTAAATGAAGAAGCCTGTCCCCTCCTTGGTAGTATTCATACATTTTTATGATCCCTTCTGCCAGAATGCTGGCAGGACCTTGACTTACTTCTTAAAAAATAGAATATGGCTAAGGTGATAGAATGTAGAAGATAAAGTGTATGTGTGACATCCCTCCTGTTGGAGTATTTCACACCATTACTTGATTTGAGCAAGTAAACTGGCATGTTATGTGCTAATGATTGCAGAGGGCCTACTAGGCTGTGCCTGGACTTCTGATGCACAGATGAGAGATAATAAATGAGTGATATTTTAAGTTGCTATGTCTGTGGTAATATTGCTACACAGCAGTAGATAACTAACACATCTGAGAAGGCAGGTGAAGTTTTGATCTACATTCTGCTGGAATAAGCCTTGGCTGGGAATAAGAACTCCTACAGAAGCTTTAGGGATGAGGGTAAAAGAATAAGAAATACAAGTGCAAAGCCCTTACTTTCAACATGAAGTCAGTCATATGGTGAGATCTCAGTGGCTAGGGAGATAAGTGACATTTGGAATAAAGTATGAGTGGATGGGGAAGTGTGTGTAAGACAGAGATGATGAAAGGCAAAGAGCAGATATAGGGAGACTGGTTATGAATGTTAGGATTATTCAGGCAAGAGATGATGATAGTCTGGAGTATGGTGCTTAGGCTGTAACTGGCAGAAATTAAGACATATATGATGAAATATGATTGAGATTTGGGGATGACTGGATATTGTGTATAATGAAGATGGAGATGTTAAGAGGTTGTTCAAGTTTGTTATTGTCTTTCTCAACTTACTGAACAGCAAATCCATTAATTCAAAATGGGGAAATGGGAAGAATGGGTAAGATCTTGATAGGTGTGGGGTGCTTTTTAAAAATTTTTTTATTGTTTACACTGTTAAAGATGTCCCCATCACACCCCAACCCCTACTCCCCACCTTTGAAACATTCAAGTGAAGAAGTGGAATTAAGAAGAGGGATGAAGGTTTGGGACAGACCCTGAGGGGCTGAGAAGGGACTGGCCAGAGACGGGCAACTCTGCCTGGGTGCTCATCCATATGCTTGATGGCTCCAGCTGCCCTTAGCAGCCCAGATGTGGGGCTGACAAGGGCAAATGTCCCCTTGATGTTTCACAAGACAGGAAGGCAGGAAAATAACAAGGCTAGGGACTCCTTCTGAATATCTAATACATAAATGAAAGAATGGATGCATGAATATATGGATAAATAAATGACTGGACGGAGAGTTGGAAAACAGTGGGATGCACAGTATAACGAAGTAGTAATCGCAGAAAAAAGCACTGACTTTTCTGAATCCAGAAAGTTTGAGATATCACAATTCATTATGACTAATAACACATAAATATTACTAATAGGTAACTGTTGTTGAGAGGCTTACTTTGAGTTAGGCAGTGAGCTAGTAAGCAGTTTCGTGTTGTCTAGTTACATTCCCAAACAATCCAATGATGCAGAAACTATTATTATATTTTTCAAAAGCAGGCTAAATTTAGCAGACTGAGTATATGTTCATCATACCCATGGCTTCTTGTCCTTGGGCACAAAGCTAAATCACATTTCCCAGCTTGATGCTACAACATGTATCTTAATGCCCAGTCCTGGTCAATGGATGTGAATGGAAGAGATGTGTATGTGTGTAAGAATGGATATGACTACTGTGTGTGTATTTGCAAAAGGATATGTGCAAAAATATGACTACTCTTCTCTCCTATTCAATATATGGCAAACTTAAAGCCACATATTGACAATAGAATGCACCTGGATCCCTGAATAATCATGTGGTACAAAGTTCCCCTGCTAACCCACATTAAATATGACATGATAAGAAAAAAAAGTCTTAATTTCCTGACCAAGATTTTGCATTTTATCTTTTAAAGCAGGTAGCATTAACTCAGCTCTACTTGTATACCAAAAGCACGAGATCACATAACTCTCCCAGGGTTATGAGGCTGGTGAGTGGCTAAATATTTAGAGCATGTCTCTTACCTAATATACCACATTTCAACTCTAGTAAAGGCAAAGAATGTATTGGGAGTGTGAAGACAGGAAACATATTTCAAAGTGCTCCATGACCACCTAGGAAGGCCACAAAAAGAAACTGCTGCACATGGAATTTCACACACAGTGATTCCCTGCTTGCTGCCATGACACCCACCTGCCAGACTCTCAGCCACCTACCTGTATAGGTGCTTCTAGAGAGAGAGGACTTTCTTCATTGTCCATAGTCCTTGCCCATGCTCTAGGAGGTAGATCAGCTCTAGTTTGGGAACAGGCTGCCCTGCACATGTAAAAATCAATGGGCAAGTTCAGAAATAAATAAATAAACAGGTAAATAAATAAATAAATAAATAAAATTATTAATATAAATAAATAAATAAATAAACAAACAAACAAACAGGTAAAGACAAAAGGAAAAGTCTCAAGTATACAGGAGCACACATGTTTAACACACCACTATGAACCCCAGAAAGGAGACTCATCCTTCCAGGTTTTCTCTAATTAAGTCAGTAGGATTCAGCCTCTCCATACAACAAAACTACCTAGAGATAATTGGTTCCAAATACAGAACAAATTAAACCAACTCTCTGGGCATAAGGATTGAGCACTGTTAGTTTTTTAAGCTCCCCAGGTGATTCTGGTACCCAAGGATGGCTACAGACACTGGAGTAAATCAACTGGGGAATGGCATCTACTGATAGTCAGTTGTCTGTGGTAGGCCATGATCTAAAACTGTTGCAATTCTGAAAAAAAAACAAAAACCAAAACGTCTATAATCAAGGTTGAGAAGATAGGGCTAAATGTGGAGACCTGCTGCCCTACATGCTGGTCCATCATCCTGTGTCCACATCAACAATTCTGGCCAGAAGACCTGGACCAAGGAGAAGAAGCAGGCAGAGAGAACAGGGCTGGCACTGACCAACCCCAGGAGCAAGCACCACCTCAGGGCTTCTTGTTAAGTAAAGTAAAGTAAATAAAGTTCACTTTTTTCAGGGTGAAACCAGTATGAGATGGTTTTCTGGTCCATGGAGCCAAACATATTTTGCCAAAAGTGAAAACTTAAAACCAGAGGGCTCTGGAGAGAAGTCAATGACTTAGGCACCAGGACCCACCGAAACTCTGAGCAGAAAATCTTGTGCTATAAGCCAGAATGCATCCAGTTGTCACTAAACAAGTGGTCACTGATGTCTGCCATATGCCTAGGCTCAGTGATGGGGAGCAGAAATAGTACATCAGCCCTTCCTTCTTCTCTGTAAAGGAACTGAGCTCAACGCCCCGTCAGGGACTTGGCTTGTGTTGGTCCCTCCATCTGGAATTCTGTTCCCCATATTTCTCTTTTCAACAAGTAATCACAATTGTCATAAAATAACACTATATTTACTGCATTGATGACTAACCTCCTAGGGGAGTCTATGTGAACACAAGGCTGGGAGAGCCCTGTCAGATGTAACCATTTGGACATCGGGGAAAAGGGAGACCTCAGCCCTCCTTTCAATTTTTATTCAGACTGATTTCTGGGTAAACTGGACATTTAGAGTTTAGGTGTGAAAGCATTTGGGACTTATTACTTTATTATATATAACAAATAAATGTATAGCACTTACTATGTTTTTTCCGGTTCTATTTTTAAGTACTTTAAAGATATTAGTTCCTTTGGGCAAAGTGGAAGAATACTATAAAAATATAATAAAATCAAAATAATCATAATCCCAGCAAACTCATGCTGCCTGCTCAAGTCTGTGAGCCCTGTGGCTATTGTTTCTGCTGAAGAGGAAACAAGCCAACAGCCATGGGAGCATTAAAGAGGCATCACTAAGCCCAGATGCTCTCAGCAACAATCAAGAAGCAGGAAAGAAAAGAGAAAAAGAAATAGTTTTTTCAGATGCCCATCGCTGCCATTTGAAAATGTGTCTGTGCATTCTCTAAAATTAACTTCTGTAGCAACACAGAAGCAAGGCACAAGCCTTAGGAAATAAGGGACACCTGCACAGGTACCAGGGGCCAAAGAAGCCTTTTAGCTGAGATTATACTGCTTAGATACCAGAAGCACTGCTCACAAATATCTTCTTGTCTGTCTGATTCATGTCCTCCTTGCAGAACTTCCTGTTACCCACAGGCCCTGCTAACTAGCATGTGTGGACATTTGACTCAAGCTCAATCAATTACCTTCCCTCTTTTGGGAATCTAGAATAAGGATGTCAGAATGAGGCCAGCTTGTGCTAGACACATGAGCTGAGATGAATTATGTTTCTTATACAATAATTCCTGATGCAGACACAGGGAATCCAAACAAGAGGAATTTTATACAACATGCTGAGATTGTGGGGAGAAGGGAAAGTGGGTTCCTGAGGTCTTCTCAACCAGCCACGCTTAAAGAGGATGAAATGAAAGAGATGTGGGTAACACATGGGAGAGAGATGAAGTCTTACCTACTGAGACCAGGAGACTACAAGTCTCCAGCATCACTTCCTGGTATAAGCTCTTCTGGTACAGGTCCAGATGTCTCCACTCCTCCCTAGTGAAGGTCATGGCCACATCTTTAAATGATACAAATGCCTAGAAAGTCAAATAGAGGTGGTGCGTTACTCTATGCCTATTGAGATTAGAGCCTATTGCTTGGTTAGTGGCATATGTTCAGTGAGACCCAAGACCCAAGACCTAAATCACTGAGTATCTCCTGAGAATCTCTCTCCGTGCTGGTCTCAGGAGGAACATTAATGGTGCCTTGGACAAAATACAAAGGTATGGAGAGAAAAGCCTCCCATGTGGAAAGCCATTGGAGGGTGACACAAAATGATAATCTGGGACAGACTGTGAGAAGTGATAGTAAGCACTTTGCGATGGTAGAAGAGTGGGCTACAAAATCATTCCAATAATAATAACAGCAGCAACAGCTGAGTCTGTTTCAGTTTGGCTGAGGGCTTTATTGGTCTATGTGTCTGCCCTTAAGCCAACACCCTTTTTTTAAAGGTTTTATTTATTTTTATAGGAGAAGGAAGAGAAATATCAAAATGTGAGAGCAACACTGACCTGCTGCCTCTCGTGTGCCCCCAACTAAGGACCTGGCCCACAGTCCAGGCATGTGTCCTGACCAGGAATTGAACCAGTGAGTGGCCTTTTGGTTTGCAGGCCATGCTCAGTCTACTGAGCCACACCAGCCTGGGCATGCCTGAGGGCTTTAGATGCTGTGTTAAAGCAATGAAAGTCTCTAGGTCTAGAGTTAGACTCCCAGGGCTTACATCCAGCCTTTTGAACCAACACATGCTTATTTTTTTGAGCCTCAATAAAGAATAGTTACCAGTTCACCAGGTGGTTGTGGGAATTAAAATGTTCATAAAGCAAACATGTCAGAGCTAGATGTGTTTGCAATTTCATGAATCATCCCACAGCCCATGAGTGGAACACCCTCACTGTCTCCATTTCACAATCAACAAACGGAGGTTCATAGTCAAGTTGCCCAGGGTTATCTAATGAGAAGGGGCAAAATTTGAATCCAGGTCCCCCTGGTCCGGCCATGATTGGGGGGTGGGGTGCGGTTAGATTTAATCTAAGCATTCATCAGCCACTTAGTGAGCACCTGACATAGGCCCACTTAATGAGCACTTGGTTCTAGGCCTGGGAATAGAGTAGGGGGTGCTCACTGGGGAAAGACTGACAAGAAACTAAACAAATGCAAGATACAGTCATATGACCCTAAGGGATCTGAAAACAACAAAAGAGAGTGAAATGACTACAAAAATTAGGGGGAACTTTATATCTCACAACCGGGGAAGTCTTCAATGAGAAGACACTAGAAAGAGGTTGGAATGAAGTTTGGAAGAAAGCCAGGGAAGGAAAAATGAGTAAGTCCTGAAGGTGATGAGAGCAAGAATAAGAGCAAAGAGGTTGGCTAGCCAGTAACTTAGGGCCTGTTGTGAGTTTACATCCCAAGAGATGCAACATTCCCATGCACTGTCATTAATTTATATTGTAATGGATTCACCTTTCAAATATAAGTGAATGTGTTAAACAGGAAAATGGATTCACTGGTGTAAGTGGCAGGCCAACTTCATTTGTAGTATACAGATGGCATCGGCAAAGATAAATACAGTTCCGGCCTGCCCAGGGAACTTCTACTCCTATGATAGGAGCAGTAATTCCAAAAACGCTGCTCCCAACTCACCTCTGTTCTCCAGGCTTTCATCCTCTTTCCCAACTTTCAGCTGGGTCAAGACCTGAGGCAGGGATGCCTAAGGGTCAGACTCTCCGTGAATGAGCCTAAGGTGATAGCATCATGGGAATCCTTTTCCAGAAACCATATCTAGAATAATATTCTCGGCCGTGCCGAACACTCAGGGACGCACGTCACACTATACCCTATCCAGTTCCCTCAACCCAGAGAGAACAATAGTTAATATTCCAGTTTTAGACCCGAGAGAACTGAGGCCAAGGGCTGCGAAGCGACAAACTCAACCTTACAGCGAGAAATGGTGTCCTCTCCTTACAACCTCTGAAATAACTTCAGAACCCTGGGTTGGAAGTAAAATAATTAGATCTGCTGTTCCCATACTCCATTCTCCCAGGAACTCTAAATCCAAGAGCACTAAGATGGAACGGCGCAGAGTCCCGGGATTCCATCTACCACAGAGCGTGGAACCGTGTGAACGGCGACTCCAGCGCAGGTGGGCCTGGGAACCCTCTACTCACTGGTGCCCGCACCGCCCTGGGGCCCGGTGTGATCTGGGATCTCAGTGCCCGCTGAGTAGAGCCAGGGCGCCGCCTCCCGGAGTCGCGGGGACGAACAGCTGGGCTGCGCCGACGCCGCGGAGAGCGCTTGGCGGGCTGCCCTATTACTGGCGGGGTCACGGCTCATACAGGAACGTGGAAGTGGGTCCTACTCTCTCCAGTGCCCTGTGCTGGGTCACAAAGACCCTCTAGAAAGTGGCCCATGCTCAGCGTTCCAGCCCGAAAGGTGGCTACAGACAGGGTACAAGACCAAACGACCCCTCGAGTAGATGCCGGAAACCCGCCCACCTTACCGCAGGAAACGCCCCTCTCCGCTGTCCCACAACGCCCAGTGCCCGCCTCTCACCTGAGACGCACTGTCTTCTGGGTAATGTAGTTTGTGACAATCCTGGTAAAGCTGGAGCGCGTTTTCTGTTTTCAGTGAAACCTTGTCCTAAGGTTCCAGAGAGGGTGCAGCATCGCTTCCTTTTAAAGGAGAGAACACAGGTATCTGGAGCGCCTTAGTCACTGCCTTGACTTTAGGCCTCTAACATGGGATGTATTCCTTGACCTTTTCCCCTGTGTATCCCTTGCAAAAGTAGTACTTCACCTATCTGACCTAGGATTCACAATGGAAAACAAAGGTAAATCTAATATAGTAATTTTAAATGTTCCCCAATCAGTTTTCCACCCATAGACTGTTAACAGAACTAAAGCGGTCCGTTTGCCTGCAGGCATCAAAGCCTAGTAAGACAGAACAAGAGCTTGCAGCAAAGAAAGAGTTTATATTTAGAAAGCAGCCCACTAGTACTCAAAGACCTGGCTCCCAGGTAGCTTCCAAAAGATAGGTTATACAGGAAAAAAATAAAAAAATTATTAGTCATGGTGACTAAGGGAGTTCCTGTGCAATTCAAGCATATAAAATAGGCCTAATTAGTTAAAAAACTCTCCCTGGCAGTGAGGGAAAACAAACCCTTTGAGGTGTTCCAGGAACACATCGGAACAACCCAAAGCCATTTTCAGGTACAGAAAAAAGTCTCCTGTTAATATTTGAACCCTGGGAAGCTTGTCAAATGCACTTGGCCCAAAAGATCATTATCATTATGAAACTATTAAATTATTTATTTACTCAGAGTGACAATAAAAAAGTGCAGTTAGCAAAACTTTAGTTTTTAAGATTCAGAAAATTATTCTCTTCAGTAATCAAGGACCTGATCAAGACAACAGAAAACTATTTTAATAAAATATAGAATCTCTGCTTTCTAGGTAGAAAACATTCTATAATATTTGGAGTAGAATAAATACAACAAACCTTTTTTTAAAAAAAATAGGGTGAAAAGAAGCAAACTCTTATTCTGCATTTGATTACTTTTGATATTTAAATTCATTTACTTAAATAATTTTAATCTTCTTCAACTTTTACCCACATATAAAATCTCCTTAAGATTTTTCTTCACATAAGGCCCTAACCAGGTAGTTCTGTTGGCTAAAGTGCTGTCCTGATATGCCAAGGTTTTGGATTTGATTCCTAGTCAGGACACATACAAAGAAGCGACCAATGAATGTGTAAATAAGTGGAACAACAAATTGATATCTCTCTCTCTACCCTCACTTCTTCTCTCTCTAAAATCAATAAAAAATAAATAAATAAAACTTTAAAGAAAGATTTTTTTTCTTCCCATACCTTCTACAACTTTCTTAGTCCCTCTTAGTATGTCTCTTCTTACTCATTTAAAAATAATCAATCTTATTTTGGGACAGAACTCATTCTTTTAATTCTTTCAAAAAATGTATTTTCATACTTTATACCTTCTATTACTAAAAACATATAGTTTATTTCTATCTTAATTAGAAATCTTAACTCTTACTGAGACGGGTTATTAAGCCAGGACAAGTGGAATAGGGAAGCTGAGATAGTTAAATGGGCCAAGCAGTTTACAGCCTTCTAGTAAGTTGCAAAATTCTATCTTCCCTAACCAATGACACTTAAAAGTAAATGGTTTATACTTCCTCTCCTCAATCAGAGGGTAAATAGCTTAAATCACCTTACTCAGGGAGACAACAGAAATTTAATTAGTGCCATTTGTGCCAACCACACACAAGGACAGAATAAGTCAGTGGAATAAATCTCATTTTGGCTCATCAGCATAAAGCTGATGACTATCCTATTGAGATCCTCCCCTGAAACCTCCCCTAAAATTTTCACCTTTAGGAAACAGATAAGAACCCTCAAGACAAAGATCCAGAGTGGGCTGTCTCTGGAGCACACACAAGACGTCCTTTCCTCTCAGGTGTGCATCTTTACTTTTCTCTCCTAAATTTTAAGGCTCTCCACAAGACTTGCAACCAGGGAAGTAATGGGAAGTGGCAGCTTGTGCCAGGCTTAACCTTTGAACCTGTCTTGAAGGCCCACTTTTCTCTGACTTTTCAGGGAGCTAATGACAGCCCCGCTGTACTCACTTCTTTTCTATAACATTTCTAGGGAGCCAAAGCAGAGCACCCACTATGCTCTCTTCTGTTACATCTTCTATCCTAGACTCTTCAGTGAGCACCACCTTGGCTCACTACTTTCCTATGGTGTTTCTAGTGAGCCAAAGGTGAGCACCACCTAGTCTTTCTCCTGTTGCTTCTCTTCCCTAAGCCATTCCTTTGTTTCACTGTCCCCAGCCTTAAACATACTCTCAAAATCCTCTGGACTTGTGTTGTGAAACCTTTCCTGGCCAGCCCAAGGCAAAACTCCTTTGTCTCTAGTCCCTTTCTGAGCAAAGGAGGGCCCGTGCACATGGCACCTTGATGCATGATCCAACAATTAGTGTTAGAGGAAACAGGTTTTTATTTACAGGGGTGAAACCTTAAGCAGCCTGAGAGCAGTTCTGCTCAAAGCCCATAAGATCCAGCACTTCCTTTGCTCCCCATCAGGCTATAAGCCAAAACCAAGCCCTATGGTTCCCCATATCCTTATATGTCCTTAAGCTGGCTGCACCAACAGTTCTCCATCTCCTCTGGAAAGTACATTCGTGGGTTTCGAGGTCACCATCCTCTCTCAGCAGCTCTCTCCTTGAGGATCTGGGGTAGGTTGTCCTCAGTCTCCATGTAACAGTCCAAAAAAACATGTGCCGTGTTATACTGGATCATGGTGGAGTCCAGGAAGGCACAAGTCCCAAGACAGTGGCCTCTCCCTATGTCCTTCAGAAAAGCAGAAGTCTATAGTCTTTGGTCACAATTCAGCATTCCAGGCATCTTCCACTAATTTGTGCTCGGTCAGGCAGGTTGCCGCACAGCTTCATCAGCTTTCTCCTTACCCCACTTTCTCCTAAACGGCTGCTATTTCACTACAGACTACATGCCTGCTTCCTTACTACACCAGGCTGCATGGTGGCATCCTGACTGCAAACTGCATAGCTGCTTTCTGCTTTCTCTCTCAGACCTCATAGCCGAATCCCTCATGGATGATCATGGCTCCTTTCTCATGGCTGCCTGCTCAGAGGAGCAGACATAACTCCTGCCTCATTACAGGCAGCATGGCTGAAACTCTCTCACACAGCTGCCCTCTTCACTACAAACCAGCATAGCTGCCTGTTGTTTTCTCACTCCCCCATGGCAGACCAGCCTCTCTCTTTCTGCGCACCTTTAATTTAATCCTCACCTGGAGTTTCCTATGTGATCTCCCATCCAGTTCCTCCCACAATGTGTTTCCCTTGACAGTTTCCCCCTATCATTTACATTCTCTTGGCTGCCATCTTTAGTCGGGCAAGAGTGACTCAGTGACACACGGGTCTCCGGGTCTCCGGCTCCCTGCCTCTTGCCCAGGCACTATACAAACCCCCAGCTGAGCCACAAGTCCCTGAATACTCTCTGGAAGTCACATAAGCCTTTTGCCCAGGGTGGGAGCACAGCTATTATCTTGCCTTTTGTTATACAAAGTATGCTAAATGCTGTATCATCTCATTCCCCTATCTCCGAACCATGGGCTGTGGGGACTTTCGGGACCCCTCGCCTGCACCCCTCGTGTTATAACATTAGGGACCCAAATTTCTAGTGACAACTAAAAAGTAAACAATTAGTATTCTTTAGATTGATGCATTTATGAACATATTTATAATTTCTAAAACTATATTTTCTCATAGCTGAGTTTTTAATGTGGCATAAAACATGTTTATTAATAGACCCAAATATCTGTAGTTTCTTTACAATAAGCAGACAGTAGACAAACTCATATTCAATATTTAAAGTGAGACAGGATAGTAAGAAACTAGGAAGATTCCTTGGCAAGTGGAACAGGGAAACTGAGACAGGTAGCTGAAGAAACTGGCCCTGCACTTTACAGCCGGATACAGGAGTTCATCTCCCTAGAGATAACATCTAGCCCTCAGTGGTATTTTAGATCCAGGCCTAGAAAAGCAGTAAATCCAGTCAGGCAACACCAGAACCAATGGCAGTGACCGAAGACCCCCTGCCCTACCACTGACCAAGACCCTGAAAGGGCCCACCTGGAGAACTGATGAATATTCCACTTAAACCCTCCCCTGAGACCTCCTCTAAGATTCCCACCTGCAATAGAGAGATAAAAGCCTCAAGACAAAGGGCACACGTTCTCCCTCTCGGGAGCAGCCCCCACCGTTCCTTTCCCTTCTTCTCCCCGACTTCCTTCCCCAGAGGCACATGTCTCCTAAACTCTAAGGCAATGGCAGCTGGCAGCTTGTCCCAGGCTGATCCTATGAGCCTGTCTCTAAGGCCCCTTTTATGTGACTTCCCAGTGAGCTTAGGCAGTCCAGCCTAGGCCCTCTTGTTGCTTCTTCTCTGCTAAGCCATTCCTTGTTCCATTGTCCCCAGCTTTAATAAATGTATCCTCATAGTCACCTGAACTCATATTGTGAAATATTTTCTACACTTGCAGGCCTTTATGGCTTTGTACAAAGATTGCTCATTTTACTCCAGATCCACCCAGACAGAATCTATGGGTCCAAGTGTTGATCAATTAGAAGATAACCTCTTTCATTTCCCACCTCTCTCTCAGGGGGAATTAGGTGGAGCCCAGAGTCTTGGGTCCTCTGCTCCTACCTCAGAGAGATCAACCGCTCCACCACCTACTCTTCAGACTAACCAAAGCCACCAGCTGAGGAAAAACTGAGTCCAGAGGTTCACACAAGGAGTGGGGCTTCATATCTCCCTACCACTCCCACATTCTTACCCTTGAGGGAAGTAGCAGGTGCCAAAGGCTCTGTAAGGGTGCAAGTGCCTTTATCTAGAACTGATTTACAACAATGGAAAGGTAGGCTAAGGAGTTTTT